CTGGCATCTCGTCCACTTCAAAGGCAAAGATGTCTTTAAATTCTTTTAACAAGTGGTGCAAGTCTGCACCGAGTTCAGCAAAAGCAGTCGTCCCGACCTTAACAGTCCGGTCAGGATGAGAGTCATCTAGGACAATGTCCATGTGTTCACCAGCCAGCTGGGAACGGAGTTCATCCGGCCTTTGACCGGTCAGTGATTGCTATTGCCTGTCTTTTTTCTCAACTATCATTTGGTTGGCCTTTCTCTTCTTGCCGGCTGCTGTTGCAACAGGTGCGGCTTCCTTGACTTGCTCAAGGTCAGTAGTTTCTCCACTGGGGCCGGCTGCGACCACAGTGGGCTTGACATCAGAGAGGTAACACTCCCTGGCCATCTTCTGGTCTCCCCATAAGGAGCCGACTGTTCCATCATCCCTCTCAAACTTGAGAAGCATAAGAGAAGGGGTGATAACAGCTTTGGATTCGTTCAGGGTGGGGCACCCCAAAAATCATGTTGTAGGCCGTCAGTTCTTCAACAACTAAGAACCGGACCACCATGTGGCGTCCTTCCCCTTTTTCGCCCAGACGAAGGGGTAAGTCTATTCGACCTACCGGATGTACCACACCACCCCCAAATCATACTAAGGAATGAGAGACCTGATCCAGTGTCAATAAGGATCCGGCTAACTCTTTGGTTCGCCACTTTGCACTTGATGACAATAGGGTCATCATGCGGCCTCCTGATTTTGCCCTTGTCATCCTTAGTAATAACGACTTCGGGGAAGTAGTCCATGGACGCCTGTCCCTCATCGATTGAGTTAACATCGAGTCGCCTGACATAGTCTTTATTGCCTCGGATGGTAGGGCCGCCTCCAGCGAAGCCGCTTACTATTGTATAGATCGGAGTTTCATCCGTATCGGAGCTATTAGCAGAGCGGGGCTTCTTTTTTGACGGCTGTCCAAGGTTAGTCTGCAAGGTAACCTTGGACCTCAAGATATAAGATTGAGGACTCCTTTGTCAGCCAGATGGTCCAACAGCCGCTTGAGGCTATAGCATTCGTTGGTGTCGTAGCAAATATCCTCATGGTAGTGGTAGTATTTGTTTTTGTTCCGATTCTTGGCGGAACCTTTCATGGGAGTCAGCTTGTCAATAGAGACCCGGTCCTTAATCTCCGTGAGGATGGAGTAATAGTCCTTATTGAATTCGTACTTTGGGGAGTACGTCTTCGCTTATCTCTTTTTCTACTGGGACGGCTGTTTAGAAAATTTGGCCACCCAGACTTGTTTTCTTTTCTTTTCTTCTTTTTTAGCCGGCTGTGATGGCGGACTCTCTTTTTTTTCAGACCTCTTTGAGTCCGACTGCTTACTGATGTTGCAGAGTTCGGTCGCTTGTATATAGCGTCCGCCTCCATCAATGCCTCTTGGAGGGTATCCAACCTCTTTCTGACGAGGTCGAACTTGAAGGCCGACCCGTCCTTCAGACCTTTGAAAAAGTCTGTGTAGGCTACCTCATCAGGCAGTCCTTGAATATGAATTTTCATCAGATTGAACCGCCTAATATATGAGCGTAACCCCTCCTTCTCTCCCTGTTGTATGGATCCTAAATCAAGAATTGTTTTCTTCACAGGGATATTCATTGAAAAGTTTGACGCGAACAAGTATGCAAGCGTTTTAAAGTTATTGATGCATCCGACCGGCAGGTTGCCGAACCATTGCTGGGCAACGCCCTTTAATGTGGCCGGGAAGCATCTACACCAAGTAGCATCATCCAACCCTTGTAGATACATAAGGTTGGTGTATGCCATCAGGTGGTCTTTAGGATTGGTGGTACCATCATAAGTACCTACCAACACATTTTTTACGTTGGCCGGCTGTGCGGCCTCAGTTATTTCCTTGGAGAAAGCTAAAGGTTGTTCCCCAAGTCTTAGTAGTCGGAGCTGCCAATCCAAAGGCTGGATATTGTGTGTTGCTTGCCACCCCCCCCCCCCCCCCCGAAGAGGGTAGGCTGCATATAAGGTGGTCCATATGGCATGTATGGCTGTTGAGGCACATACGGGGCCGCCTGGAACATCTGAGGACTAGAGTGGGCGAACAGGCCGCCTGTCTGGTCCTCTTGGTTTGATTGAGAATACCTCATTGAGGCATTCTGAAAGTTGTCATTGAAGTTCGACGTGGAGGCCGATTCTGACAGTTGCATATTCTTCTTTTGCTGGATTATCATCCGAGCATCGGAATATGTTTTCTTGGAACCATCCGGTTGTATATGCCGGATGGCCTTCCTCTTTCCTGGCTCAAGGAACCGAAGTCCAGCCAAGTTTATCAAGGGCTTCTGTCCCTCCCTTGGTTTAGGGTACGGAGTGGCTTCTCGGTCTTTGACCGACTTATTCCTCCCAGAATGAGAGGGCTTTTTGGCAGACTGTTCCTTGGTAGGAACAGTCGTCCGCTTTTCAATAAGATCCTTTATCTCCCCTTTGAAACTTGTCATGAGGGTCATGAGCTCGCTTCTAGTGATGGGGGTGGATCCTTCGGCCGCCTGTAGTTGTCTAGCCGGCTAGCCGACTGTTTCGCTAGGGCCTGCCTGGTCAGCGTTCCATTCCCTCCTTTCGGTAGGCCGGATGCGGCGTGTCCTGAGAGACCCGTCAGGGGCCGTATGGGTGGTGACTTCATAGTCATCATCCGTATCTTGGTCTGAGAAGACCTGAACGTCGGCCGTAGGTTGTTTCTCATTAAGAGCTGGTACAGGTTCTTATGAAGTCATCTTTGAAGTACTCTCCCTACAGACGGCGCCAAAATGTTTTAGGGTTTTTTGATGTCTTTCGGGAGAGTTACAATTCCAAGACTGACCTCTGGACGCCTGTACCTGCAAAACAACGGAGACTCCGATCCGGTGGGTGGGAGTTCCGCCTCCGACGATCAAGTTAGAACGTATATGAGGAGTAAAGTGCGGAAAGTAAGGGTCTCTCTCTCGGATTCCAAGAGAGAATCTGCAGTGTGTAATTGCTCAGTTCAAGGTGTCAGGTGTCTGACTTTTTCTGATGGAGAGTTAATGTGAATTAAATATTTCTGAATAATTGTTCCTCAGAGGGAAACATCTCCCTTTTATAGGGTGTTGAGAAACGTGCCCAGCACTAGGTTTCAGTAAACCTAGGACTGATTGGGCTTTGCCTGGGAATTTGGGCCGTAAGAGGCCAGCTTTCCTTGTTGTCTATCTGTCTGCCACGTGTCGTGGCCTGATTGGTCCACCTTGGAGCTCTCATAAGGTGACACGTGGCGGACTCTGATTGGTCCACGTGGATGACACGTGACGGACTCTGAGTGGCCCACGTGGCGGGGAAAAAAATCCCCTAATCATTAAGTATAAAAAAAAAAATTTCTTTTTTTTTTTTTTTTTTTTAATGTGATGATTTATACATTTGAATAAACTGTTTTATATGATATTCTACTGTTGATGTTGATCATACATTTATTTTACATAATTGAGTTGGTTCAATGGTGATTACTGATTAGTGGAACTTTTATGTGTGACTAGAAAGGACCACCAAATTACTAATTGCATATGCAAGGTCCCTCTTTCTGTATTAATTGAGAGCAGTCTACCTAAAACAAATCTGGAGATGAAAGTGATGTAAATCATGTAATTGGTTGTTTTGCCGTTGTAGTTAATCATTAAGAATATCAATAGTTATTTATTTATTTTTTTTATTCCGGTCAATGGATTACGTATACATGACCAATGGTTACGCATTAACCATTTAGTCCTGAGATATCTAAAGGTATTTTTTACTCCCTTCGTCCCTAAAAGAACGATCATTTTGGTCAAATTTTAGTCCCAAAATGTTCACCCCATTTGCATTAAAATACCCTCCAATTTGCAATAATATTTGTGCAAATTAGCTTTCCCGTGTAAATTTTTTTTTTCCATGTACTTTTATTCCTTTCTCTCTCTACTTTTTTACAAATCCCATGTAAATTTACCTTTTCAATGTACTTATATTAGATTTCCCATACACTTGTACTTCCCACTTAAGTTTCTTAATACCCGTGAAAAATGTCCAAAAGAGTCGTTCTTTTAGGGACGAAGGGAGTAGTTAACATGAGAATTAAATGCTCATAGGAATTATATATCATTGGTGTTAAAATTTTGGATCAAATTTTGTAGAAATTGATTGGATTTGTTTTGTTGTTGCGAGACATTTGCAAATAATAAGAATTTTGAGTAATCAAAAGGGGGCTAATTTCATTCCCATGTATTTTTTGGGCATTGAAAATTCCATGAATTTGCAGTTTTTACATTTCCACTTTTTATGAACCACCAAACAAACTTCTAGCGTATTTCCAAATTCAAATGAGTTTTCTATTCCGTCAATATTTTTTGTTCAACCAAAAGATACCTAATACAGTAATAAATTTAAGTCTTTTTCCATATAAAAACCATAATTTAACTCTCTTTAATATTTTCCAATTTGTAAAACATCTTTTAAAACTTTGACTTTATTCATTCTTAGCAAATTCCTTTTAGTACATTACTGCTCTTATCGATCCCCCATAATGTAATAATTTCACCATTCCACTCATAATGTAATGATCTGAGGTGAAATCTTAGAAGTGTACATGTACATGCATATACAAAAATGACTTAGGTTGTGCTACCACCAATTGCATAATAATACAACACTATTTTTTATTTTTTTTTTTTTGCTCATTTGATGATGTTCCAACTGAGTAAGAATAGTATCATTAGTACCATGAATGCTTAAAATAAAGAATCCAGTATACATTTAATAGGCTAATATACATTAATTCTTTCTTCTTAATCTCTCAACTCTTGTTTTTTAATCATTCAAGTGCTTCATTTTCGATGTTTTCATATCTTTTTTTTTTTTTTTTTTTTGACAATGGATGTTTTCATATCTTGTGAATGACTAAAATGATACTATAGAACAAAAATGAATGATGGTGAATACATGAATATCTTGTGAATGACTAAAATGATAGTTTAGAACAAAAATGAATGATGGTGAATAAATGAAGGTACCTGGAGAAATAGAGTCTGAGATTGCTGAAGCTGGTGGTGCTGACAAATTCTTAAGAAAATTATTTTCGTACCGCCACCCAGGACCTTTAATGTTGCCCAAACGACAAGCCTTCAATAATGTGCCTCCTTATCCGAATTGGTTGTACGGAGAAGATGTTGCTTACTACCGGGACAAATTTACACATACCAGCTTCACTGGAGGATTGAACTATTATCGTGCTATAAATCTGTATGTCTCTCCTTAAACTCACACTCATGTTTAGTCTTCATCTATTACATTAATGGGAAAAGTCGATAGTGGGGATAATAATCCGACTATTGTGATGGGCGTTTTAGTATTAATTGTTATCTATCTTTGATAACAAGGGATTCTAGCATTCTGTGTATTCCACTGAAAGGAAAAACTTCAATTGAACTAGGAATTGAACCCTTTCAACAAGTCTTGGGCTATGTAGGGCACTCATCTTGCAAAAGTTTAACTGCTCAATGGTTGCAACTGAGAATCGTCGAATGGGAGTAACATTGTACTTTATGAGTTAGCTTCTGACTTAACCTAGGTGAAAGTTGTTAGGTGTAACCTATGGTATGTCATTTACCTGTTAACCAAAATCTGCAACGTTGAGGAATGCCGTAGACAACTAGATACATTTGTAACATTTACAAAAACACATAAGAAAATGCCGAACACTTTTCACCAAGCATGTTTGACTGGAAGGTTACTTGCTCGACCATGATCAGATTCTGATCCCGGATTTCCTTATTATTTAGGATAAATGATTGCATAACAATGGTTAGAGACTGCCATGCCTCATAAGTACGTTGTGGGATGGTTGGATTTCTAAGAATGACAAGGCATTCGCAAACTCAAATCAGTTAGCACCAATAATTTCAGCTGTCTTACTTCAATTTCATCAATTACCTGAATGTTGGATGCTAATTATCTTCCAAGGTCGAGAAATTGCTGGGTGTTGCAATACACCCTTTCTAGCGGTGTGTAGGGTGGCTGTTTCAGTGTCTTCGGTGTTACTGTTATTCATATTGAGTACGCTGTAGACTCTCTTAAGTTATACAGCCTAGCCATCTTGCAGACCAGCGTAAATATACATGCTGTTTGTCTGGTCATTCTTTGTTTACATATGTTACAGCATCTTTAATTTTACTGCAGAAATTGGGAACTCATGGCACCATGGACAGGAGCTCATGTAAACGTACCAGTGAAGTTCATTGTTGGAGAATTGGATCTGGCTTACCTTAAGCCTGGAGTCAAGGAATATGTTCAAGGCGGGGGGATGAAAAACAATGTGTCACTTCTGCAGGATGTGGTCATACTTGAAGGAGTTGCCCATTTTCTACAGCAAGAGAAGCCTGATTTGATATCTATTCGAAAATTTTAAGGGCTTTCCCTTGATAAGAGAGTAATTTAAACTAACTGAACCAATTTCGGACAGAGGTAGTAACAAAGTTAAGTAAAGACGTTGATTTACTATAATTTTCATCAAATTATTCCAATTGTTCAGTCAAAAGAAATTATATGTATGACCTGAACAACAATAACAACCACCACCCCAAAATATTTATTTATTTATTTTTTCTTAAAAAAAAGGCAATAAGGAATTCTGCAACTTCTTTATTGTTGCTTTACGGCTTCTGCAACTTACTAAAAGTAAAAGTTGCATATTGGAAACTGTTCTATTACATCCTTCTTATTTTGAACACTGAAGTTCTTGTAACATGACTTGTAAAAATTAGCTATCAACTAGCTTGAAGAAAGACCAGATCCAACGTCAGATTGTGTTTCCGCAAGAGATAACATGCCAAACTGTTAGAATCAACTCCTTACAGGTGCAGTCCGTTTTTCAACATTAAAATTAACGTCTATGAGACCTGTAATACCAGCAGTTATTTTTTCACCTGGTTTGACAGGACCAACGCCTTCTGGGGTGCCTGCACAATATAATCAGTGAACCAGCTGAAAATAGACATGTTGGCTAGGTGAAAGCATGGGTTTCAGGGACAAAAGAACAGAGGATGGCAGTGCAGGGGAGAGACATGCTTTTATGCGACAGTAAATAGAATATCGGTAAATCACTATAAGAAGTTGCCATACCTTAGTTTTTAAGGGCGCAAGACGCACCAAGGCGCAAAAAGTCCTTAGAGCCTAGGCGCAAGGCGAAGGCGTGTGCCTTTTATAGGTGAGGCACACTATTTATATAGAAAAAAGTAATAATTTCTATTAAATAAGTGTAAAAATGAAATTATAAGAAAAGGTGAAAGGGTCATGTGATCAATAACAAGGGTTCTTCAAATTGAATTATAGGATATGGAATTTCTCTCTACACTAGAATTGAAGAAAACCTGCCCATAACAAAGTCTCATGGTATACTCTAGGAAAAATAAACTTATACAATAGCTATTGATGCTTTAAAACATAAAGCGCAAAATAAGGCGCAAAGGCGCAAGAAGCAGCCTAGAAAAAAGCGCAAAGGCGCGCGCCTTTTGTAGGTCTTTGAGCCTCAAAGAGCTAAGGCGCCAACTCTTGAGCCTCACTGCGCCTTGCGCCTAGGCGCGCCTAAGGCACACTTTTTAAAACTAAGTGCCATACAGCATCAGCTTCATCTCATAGAGGAGATTATCTATTGGATAGTGTAGAGCTGCGCCTGGCAAACCAAGGAAAATTTCCCTCAGTCAGAATTAAATAGTTACGTTGTTCTTAAACCCTCATAATTGAGTATATGATACAGATTCAATCAAAGATCCTCTGTAAGAGATGATTTTTACTCTCCACTACACATTCTTAGCAAGGGTATGATGGTTAAATCAATCACAAAACATTCCTTTTTTAAGGAAAGGAGGCGATATTTTTCTTGCAATTTAAACTGGTACGCAGTATATATTACTATATGACTATTAATACCAAACAGAGGGAGGATTTCCCCTGAAAATCACAACTTCCGATCAGTTGGGCAAAAAAATAAAGGCAGTAATGACCAATGATAGAACAAAGCACAATGCAGAATAGTCAGCAATTTAGATCAAAGGAGAAAATTTTAACAAATAAGATATCAAAATACCTGTTAAGATCACATCTCCTTCCAGAAGAGTGACAAAAGAGCTTATATGGCTGACGAGGAATGGAACCGAGAATATCATATCTTTTGTTGACCCCTTTTGCTTTATTTCTCCATTAACCTTTTGTCAGTTTGTCACATAAACTAGTTTAGATCTTTATTAAATAATCATAGATACTGCAACACTTTTAATGTTCACTAACAAAAACTTCACAACTTGGTATGATGAACCCACCTTTAGCCACAGCTCCAAGTTGTGAGGATCAGACACTGCAGATTTAGGAATCTGCAAAATCAAACATTGGAAATCCAATAATTCAAGGTGGATAGTTTATAATGCCCCCCTTATTCAATAGAGTTAATAAGGTGTAAAACATAAATACTCCATAGGAAACATCATATCTTACCATTTCACTGATGGGTGTAAAAGTGTCCTGTCCTTTAGCCAATAGCCACGGAAGCCCTGCAGCCTAATAGATTATAAACAAAACATAAAAACATAATAAGGTGTAGGAATGACAATTTTCATACTGCTGACTCAAGTTATTATAAGAATAATATCATGAATATGGGTAACAACCCAGGATAACAAACAATGCTCTTTTAATAAATACAACTTTCTCATGTATGTTCCCTAATATCCTTATAATCTTATTCTCTTATTCTTTTTTCTTTTTCCTATAGTACAATGTACCTGAAACTACACATTTACATCTTTAATTTTCTAAACTTGTAGAGGCCGAGATTTAATCAGTTTAAAACTATTAACCAAAATCTAATAAAAGTCAACAAATTACTATTATTATTTCCTCAACTTAAGTTTGATGACTTTCAACATGCCCAATTAATTTCAATAAGTTCCTTAACCTTAATTCTTCAAATACTAAAGATGACGATGCTATACATTTTGCTTCGCATCTTTAGAATGCAACAACTAGCTGTCTTTTAGAACTCTAAGTAAAAGTTGAACCTAGAAAAAATTCATATCTATTTCACAAATGATACAAATGAAGCAAATTTCACCGCAAATGGCAAATGTGAACAATTATTTCTTACATGCATGAATGCACAACATGAATCTAATAATTTGTGGTTTTTAAATAGTGGATGTAGTAACCATCGATTGGAAATAAAGATAGATTCATTAAATTAGATATGGGTGACAAATCAAGTTACCCAAGGTGATGGAAAAAAGCAAATGTCAAAGGAAGAATCAATGATGTGAATAGCAAATCAAATAATACAAATTTACACATGATGTTCTATTTGTACCTAATTTGACACATAATCTCCTTAGTGTGACAACTAGTCCAACAAGAATACTTAACAAATTTTGACAATGGAGAATGCATAAGCTTTGACAAATGCAACATTACCAAAGGTACATATGGCTGAAAAATAAGTTTTTCCTCTTCACTTGCCGACAAAATAAAGAGTTAGTATTACTAGCAAATGTTATGGATAAATCTTATCAATGCCATTTACCGTGGACATTTGAACAAAAAAACATAAAGACATGGTTGAGGGAGTACCACATATTTATAGAAATCTTCAAGTTTGTGAAGGTTGCATATATGTTAAAAAGCATCATCTTCCATTCCCAAAGAATTGTGGAGAGCCAAACCTCCTCTTGAATTAGTACATGTAGACATATTTGGTCGTGAAGGAATCCTTTTCTATGGAACAAGAGGTACTTTTATTTTTGTTGATAGTTTTACCCGTATGATGTGGATATATATTATCAATCAAAATTCAAATGCTTTCAATGTATTTTTGGAATTTGAAGCATTAGTTGAAAGACGAAGTGGATATATGACAAAGACATTGAAAACTGATATAGGGGGTGAAATTATATATAACACCCTTTTATGAAGCATTGTAGAAATAAAGGTATAAAAAGATGAGAAGCACGATGGAAGAAAAGGATTTTCCTTAAACATTATGAGTCAAAGCTGTAAATATTGTCGGCCATTCTCTAACTAAAACTGTTTATAACAAAACTCCTTATAAACCTTGGAACGACAGATTACCAGTTATTAGTCATTTAAAGTTTTCGTATGTATTGCATATGCCTTTTAGATCAAGGTAAAGACAAGTATGATCCCAAAGGAAAAGATCTTTTTTGTGGGATATGTTGATTAATCAAAAGGCTATCGTCTCTTACTGCCTTAGATCCATAAGCTAAGAAACTAATAGTCTCTCGAGATGTTATTTTTGAAGAATTGCCAAATTGGAAATGGGATGATGAAATAGTTCACTTCTGTGTGCAAGAAGAAGCTAGCACTTCTTATGGCCCAACTCCAACAATAATAAATGAAGTTATAAACAGTCGATACACAAAAACAAAGAACCTCATCTTCTCCGATCTTAAATGAATGAGGAAGAATTAGAGCAAGACCTTATTTGGATGATTATGAGTATTATCTATCTAAAGCAAATGACATGGAAATGTTCGCTTTATTTGCATATGAACCTTCTAACTTTAATGAAACATAAACTAAAGATGCTTGGATAAAAGCAATGGATGAAGAAATTGCTATGATTGCAAAAAACAAGATGTGGGGCTTGTTGATTGTCCTAAAGGTAAGGACATAATTGATCTAAAGTGGGTCTATAATACAAAACTAGACCAAGATGGAAACATTCAGAAACACAAAGCTAGGCTTTAGTTGATTTTAATGAGACATTTGCTCCAACATATTGAAATCACTAGAATGGTGTTAGTCATAGCTACATCAAAAGAATTATTTGTATATCAAAAGAAGTGCATGTGGAACTAAGAGGGTATGAAATTCAAGGCAAAGAAGAAAAGGTTTATAGTTAACATAAAGCACAAACTGCACTTAAACAAGCTCCAAGAGCATGGAATAGCAAAATTAATAGGACATTTTCTCCCTGAAAATAGGGTTTTCAATCTCCTTCGAAAGACAAGGTTGATCTCCTTCGAAAGATAGAGGATTTTCAGACAGGGTTTGTCTTCTCTTTTCGAGGTAGAATTTTCTTATTTTTACATTTAAGATAGATCAAATGGATTATTGTGAAATTTGGTTTGTTGGTAATAAATTATGTAGGGTCATGGAGGTTATCAATTTTTCGAATACAATTAAATAAATTAAAATTAAAAATTCCTCACAAATACAAAAGATCGTTAAATTATATGTTCAACAAAGCTAAATTTTTCAGCAAAATAAACAAGAGATCCAGGATGATCGTAGTGCTGAAGGAAATCATTAATTGATTCACTATGTTATACACTTGTTAAATTCTAATTTCTTTTGTAGATGTCTTATGAATTTTTATTAACGAATTAATTATTTAAATTCACAATTAAAAAAAATCAACTAATAAAAGTAAGGAATTAAATAGACTAAATTAACTAAACAGTACTAGAATATGAATATCAAATAGACAAAACACTAGGGAGAGGGAATTCCAAGCATAACAATTCATTCGATGATATAATGACGAATAAGACGATCATGATCACACCTATGGGAAACTAGCAAACCCAAATCGCTTTCACACAAATATACATGCATAATTCAACCTGATTAGCTCACTCCGACACAACTAATTAAGTTTTATGGGCAAACTAACACTCTAAGCTGCTTACCACTATGACACAGACTATATACACAATGTGACACAAGGACGAACTACACCGTATAATCACGCCACCACCCACCAGATTTCAACCTTAGGTCACTAAAGAATAACACACTTTCTCAAGTACCCGTGTCGGACCCTCGACCTTCTAACATGGGTATGACAATTGGATACTTTATTTTATATCCGGAATTTTCACAAGATAGCCGAGTCGGACACTTGGACACATACCCGTGTCGAACATGTGTACCTGAGTTCGAGTAACATAGCTTGAGGTCACAACTCTTTAAAGGATTCACCTCCCATATTCTCCCCCCCCCCCCAATACTAAAGATAAAGACTCTAACCTAATAATATAGACTACCAGTATTGCCCTTCCTTAACATTAATCTCTAATCTAACTCTTTATTAGGCTAAAACTAAGAGTGAGCTGCCGTAAGAGTTGTTGTTCATTGGTGAGAATTGGTATTCCCTTTAGTGGCTTGGATCGTGGCAGAAAAACTTAGTGGTTTGCAATGAGAGGTAATTGACTTTTGGGTGAAGTGATGTCGATAGTTTGGAATTAGGGCTTGTATCAGGTTGGAAGAAGTTTGAATAGGTGGAGTTGTGAGTTGGAGGGTGGAGAAATGTGGGTTAAAAAATGAGAGGAAAATCAGGCTTATTGATAGAATAGTCAATCTTTAGGCCAAACTTTAGGGCCAGAATTGATTTTAGGAAATAAAAACCAAGGGGCTTTGAATGTGGGTTAGTTTAATAAGGAAGGGAAATATAGGTAGTCTAGTATTATTAGGTTAGAGTCTTTAGCTTTAGTATAAATAGAGAGAGGGGGAACAGAAAATGGGAGGTAGAATTGGGAGTGAATCCTTGAGAACGTTGTGACCTCAAAGTCACTATGGAGCTTGATAGGCTAAACCTATCTATGGTGTAAACCGTTGTTATTGCTAACTAAAGCCTCAACCTTTCTTCATATTTAACTGTTTTATTGCATTTCTCTGTTATTTGGTTGTGCTTTGGTCCGAATCTTTTACAATTTGCTTCAAGTATAGCTTATCATACCAAATCAAAAGATGGCATTAGGTTCCTTGAACTGTATCAATTATATAGATTTCCTTGGCACAAATCGGTCTGAGTTATGGTTTTGTGTAACAGACTGAAAATCGCAGACTCTCACAAACAGATAATAAGAACAGAGTAATATTTGAGAGGAAAGATTGAAGCAAGATCGAAAATGATAAGTGATTACAATAGTGGATTTAGCCTACCACTCTTCACTAGAGACTTTAGGTCACGACTCTCCTAATAATGACTTGAGGTCTCCTAAAACATTCACTCTGAAATCTGCCTATTTTCTCAATAGCACTCTTCCATTTTTATATTTATATTTTCCATCCCTAGGATGATTCTACTGAGCTTTTGTCTCATGTGCACAGGTAGCATCTCTTGGTTCATCGCATGTTTTCCCTTATGTAATACATTTGAGGACTACTAAGTAACAACAATACTAACCTACCCATAATACCCCTTCACTAAGTTGGTTCATTACACTTTGCAGAAATGCTTTAGGTTTCATACTTATGAATTCACCAAAACTAGCAAACTCTCTGCGGACGAGAGTTATCTGCACATATGATTGTAGACAATACAATACCGATTTAAGATATAAAAATATACTTACACTTTTTTAAGAAACCTTTAAGACAAGAAAGGCTGCGGGCAACATTTGGACTTTTAAGAGTTAATTTAAAAGTTATATATCACTCAATTATTTAAAAATGATGTTATAAATTTTATGTTTTTAACCTTTATAGATTGGAATATTAGATCCAAGCTAACTAGTCCTGATTTAGATTGAATAGGAATATAGGATCAGGCTTGTTGAAAGTTCGGTCTTGAATTCTAAAAACCAAATTGTATTTTACATTTGATTGGAGTCAATTTCAAATTGAAATCCGAACATTCACCACAAGTTGGAAGAGATAAGAGAGGTAATAAGAGGAAATTTGTAGGACAGATTGTTGAAAATAAAAATTTTACCTTAATTGATGATTGGAGTTCCCTTGCTGTCATATCAAGTCCCAGAGCATAACCTAAAGATCAAGATAATATCAATATACTTTCTTTCCAAAACAAAATCAAGCATTGTAACAGATCATTACACTACACTTCCAAGGGAAAGCAGAAACAGATGTAGAACAAGTCAGATGCAATTATTAGCAATGCTGGAGTAAAATCCTCACCAAATATAATCTAGATTATCAGAGCTTAAGTGGTCCACAATGCAGATGTGGAAAGAAGGATATCATCCTAATCAACAATCGGACTTAGTCAGCTGACTCATGGCAGCAATTTAAGAAAAGTGCATTCAAGTAAAATGACATCTAGACATTTACTGTAATTTCACTGTCATCAAAGAAACTCATAGAGCATCATAATTTAGTGTTCAAATCATGACCTCCATCAAAGTGGATGTTGAGTCTATCAGTAATTCTCCTACCTTGATGTTCCCTCAGTCTCTTTATGTTTGCTCTATTTTCCTATTTGGTTTGCCCTTTTAAATTTTACCCATTCCTTTTATTATGGCATGCTACCCCCACTTGTCTCTCCACTATACACTATTAATTAATGTAGGAAAAATACAAAAACAAAAACCCATTTGCACAACCTTTGCTCAACTCATACAAAAGTGAAACCTAGGCAGACATAAAGGGATGGAGGAAATAACACGTAGGTCGGTTTTTTAAGTCCTCAAAGGCATATGAGCCCAGAGGGGGGAAGGGGGAGGGGGTAGAAAGAAAGAAGGACCTATGACCTATGAGAGGCAGTTCACACAGGCCCCAACCATACCTTAAGTCAAATATTGAAAAATATCAAGATCTTAATAGCTTTACATGATGCCAATGAGAAATAAAGTATTTTTTTAAGTCCTGACAAATGTGTATGACTAGTTCAAGATCCACCCACATACAACACAATGGAAGTATTATTTCCAAATTTTTTTTTTTACACTTCCACGAAGAAAATAAAAGGCATGTTTGATAACATTTTTTAAAATAATCAGTTGCAAGAGGGATTGATTAATTTATGCTTGGTGTGGCCTATTGCTAATTCCTTATGCTTTTCTTCACTTATAAGAATAATTGTTTTCACACTGCAGCAGAAAATCTCAACCACAGCTTTTTCATTTCTCTGTTACATTCTAAACCATTATGAAACATTTGTTGGAACTAAGAATACAAAGTACAAAAGAAAATTGTTGAAATTATATCAATGCATTCTCATTCAAATGAATAAATAAGAAGTGCCTTTAAATAGGCTACACGCTACACCAAAGTTCCTAAAGTAGAGCAACTAAGCATCCAAAGTGGAGTAGTGCTAGGTATGTGGCTTAGTGCATGCTGCCACTTTTAGTGCCCCCACTTCCTCTAATCAAAAATAAGTAATTTGACTAAACAATCTAACTAAAAATAACACTAAAATACTACTAAGCTTAACTAACTTCTGCTACTAGACTTGAGAGATATTTTAGTAACTAACTGAATCAACCATTGACTAATTGTTTTGAAGCATATTTTAACACACCCCCTTGCTTCAAAATTAGTAAATCTTATGAAGCACTTCTCTTCAAATTGTTGATGCATGTCTCATCACCTTCAATTTTTTTACTTGTTAATGATATCTCATCAACATATACTCTTCGGACTTCGGAGCACCCATCTCCATGGTGCACATAATCACCTGCCATTCTTGAACAAATTTTCTTCCACGGCCACTAGTGCTATGCCTTCTTTCTCATCACTTTGAAATCTACAATTCCTAGCCATAAGCCCAAATTTTTGACAATTGTAGCATTTTGATTTTACCTTATGCCAACAATCCTTTTCCTCATGACAAATCTTTTGACCATTGTAGCATTTCACCTTACTACTTTTACCTTTTGAGAATGAAGATTTTGAAAATAAAGCTCCCTCAAAAAAAAATTTATCCATTTTCTTCCTCCCTTAGTGATCTCTTAGTCTACGGCACTAAGGGCATTGACTAAATCTACTAGGGTTATTTTGTATAGATCTTTGGAGTGTTCAAATGAGGAAGTTTTTTCTTTTATTTTTTGGGAACACTCACTAAAATCATATCAACCCCTCTCCTATTGGAAAATGTTTCACCAAGTAATCTAATTTGATAAACAATAATAATAAGTTTACTCACAAGTTCTTTTACAGTTTCACTCTTCTTCATCCTTTGCATCTCAAATTCTCATATGAGTTTCAAAACTTGCATCAATTTTGTTTGAGCACTGCCCTACAACCCTTCCTTTAGCATATCCCATGCCTCCTTTGGTGACTCACAAGTCATGATACTTGTAAAAATTCCATCTGACACGGCCGAATAAATACATCAAAGGATCTTTACTTTTCATTCCGCTTCTTCATTGTGTTTTTTGATTTGGCTGATGTTGGATTTTGTGGAAGAGGAGTTGGATCAACATCACTCTCAATTGCTTCCCACAACTTCATTCCTTGCAAGTATAATTTCATTTTGATAGCCCACGTATGATAATTTTCTCCTTTGAATGTGGGAATGGAAAGAGAAAAGGTGTTTGATGCCATTGAGAGAACTAGGATGAACACTCAAAAAAACAATTTTAGCCCTCACAAGATCTTTGTTGGAACTAAGAATGCAAAGTACAAAAGAAAAACGTTGGAAATTATATTATTGCATTCTCATCTAAATGAAATAATAGAAAGTGCCTTAAGTTACACCAAAGTTCCTAAAGTACAGCAACTAAGCAACTAAAGTGGAGTAGTGTTGTAGTGCAACTAGGTACGTGCCTTAGTGCATGTTGCACTCTTAGTGCCTATTTAAATAGGTGCCACTCTTATGATATAATGGTTTTGCAGGCTAACCATATGGACTTCCTCTAATTTTAAAATATCTAATTTGACTAAGCAACCCTAACTAGAAATAAGGAAGAGTAACATACTACTAAGCACAACTAACTTATTGCTTGCTACTACACTTAGGAGATATTCTAGTAACTAAGTGAATCAATCATTGACTAATTCTTTTGAAGCATATTTTAACAACATTCTCTTAAAGCTTTATGATGATCAATAGTAGGTCCAATCTGCCAGATATGTTCTTTAAAGCCTATTTACATCAAACCATTGATAGGATATTGATATTGTAAGCAGTCCAAAGTCCATATGGTTAGCCCGCAAAACCATTATATCATAAGTTTCGAAAATATACTATCTTTATTCTTTTCATCTCACGGTTGTCATAGAAGTAAACATGTCGCCACATGCAGCTAGGACAACCACCGATAAGGATCTACCAATGGTGCCATATAGAAAGGTCGAAATGTTACATAGTGGTACTCAGCTAGTCAGTTTTAAAGAGGACAGACGGACTTGTAAGTGACTAGTTGAAAGGCTTTTTACATGGTAAAAAATTAGAACTCAACTTCAAAAGTCAGGGAGGTGATTTAAGTTACTTCTCGAGAAAGTAACATATAAATCCTCTTCAGAAGATTCTTCTCATGAGTAAACAGTTTTCAATGCTTATTTTAAAGGCTGGACAAAAATACGGCAATTATTTGTTGGAATGCTAACAACCATTTAATGTGAGCTCGTACAAACAAATAGGTATTCAAATATAAGCAATTGCAATATGCAAACAATACTATTATAAGCCACAAAAGATGATAATCCGATTTGGACTAACTGCAAATACCAGGCTATCAAAATCTAACTGGCTCTAATTCCTTTAAGGATTGGATCCAAAGCAATATCTTGCTGTTTTATAGTCAGGATGGAATTGAAAGTTGGTGTACACAACAGTTTGTTGCAAAACTATGGTCCTTGTGGGCTACAAGGAACAAGCGGATTTTTGAAGGAGATAATGGCCATCTCCGCTCATACTTCATAAAGCTTAAGCTAGCTCGAGCTCTTGTTCATGATTTCAACAAAACGGACACCAGGAACTTGGGAAAGTCGACTATTTTAGATCGAGAAACTCAGCCTCCTCCAGGCTTTCTACAGGTCTCTTTGGGAATGGTTTATCGTCTACTTTATTATGATAATACCACTTAGCCCTTTACTATCCGAGTGGATGGATCCTGGCACAAGACTTTGAAATTGTATGGTGCAGGTTGGACGATAACTCTTTCGGATCATCGGGAGAGAGATGCGGGGGGGAACCTGGTGTGGCATCCTCGGCAATCCAAGCAGAGGGGTGGGCTTGTCTGTCAGCTTTGACATGGGCCCGGGACAATGGATATGTTTCCATACAACTCTATACAGACTCTACTCTGATTATCTCTTCTCTATGTAGAGAGGGGAATTTATCTATGGACCTTTTCTGGATAGTAAAGGAAATTCGGAAGCTAGGTAAGCACTTTCATCATTGTGTTTCCTTAAAGGTTGGAAGGGAAGAAGTCAGCCGTTCACACCAGCTTGCTAATCAATGTCGACAGAATGTCTCAAGTTTTGCTACTCACCTTCCTTTTGATGTCTTTTAAGTTTTTTAGTCTGTTTTATTCTTCTGTTTGTGTTTCTGCTGTTGTCAAAAAAAATAAATAAATAAATAAAAGAAGTCTCATTTCACCAAAAAACTATATCACCAAATAAGTCTCGCTTTACCTTTATCTTTTTTTATTCACTTTTAATTAGTCAAAACCAATTGTCGGGTTTTTTTCTATGTATTTACCATTATTCCATTAATCAACCAAACCCCACAACAATTTTTATTTTTATTTTTTGAAGTTACCTATGCTAATGACGATATGTATTCTTTACCAAAAGGATTATCTTGATACATTCGTAAGCAAGTTGATCATTTCAAAAAAAAAAAAGAGTAAGCAAGTTGATTAGAATTTTGGTTCTGGAACAGCCAAGTTGAAACTGACATTCTTATTCATATATTGATTCGCCTTCCGAAAACGTTTATTTGGGAGGAGAGTGAGTACCATACATCAATCTCACCCTGGATCAGCTTGAGTTGCACACTTGCACTACATTTCAGCTCCCTAATATGCTACTACGAAGACGATGTCTAACCTCACTAACTAGCTTAGCTCACCATGTACAGGCAGCTTCACCTCTCAATTTATCCAGTACCATATACCAAAAGGAATTAACAAATTTGCACATCTATTCAATACCCAAAAAACAATCCTCTTTATTTCCGCAAAAAAGTAAATGACTATCCAACAACAAAAGCACCAATTATAAAAGCAATAGAAAATCGAACTATCCCAATTCAATCATATTCATTTTTCTGCTATTATAAATACAAAAACCCAAATTCCTTTTTTCTTTTTAAATCCTAATTTATTTCGTCTATATCAGACAATGACTCTACTTCCCAATTTAAATCTACCAACAATTATTGTTTTCATAGCCTGAATTAATACATAATCCGAAATAAAAAACGATGGAAAATAGGGATGAGCAAAGAACCTGCAATAAAATCCATGGCAGAAGATTCGGGAACATCGCGAGCTTTCTTGGAAATGACAACAGCAAGTTCAGCTTCATAGTGAAGGTGTTCCATTGAAGGTGGGATTAGAATGGTTCCACCATTAGGCAAGTAAGAGGATGTAGGTTTCATAAAAAGGACAGGTTCCTTTGGAATTGGGTTGCCAAGTTCTTTCGCATGGTTCGCATAGTTACGACCAACGCAGATGATCTTCGTTCCCATTTCAATTAGTTTCGCCATTTTTGATCGATTGATTTCTGCTTTCTGCTCTTCTTTGAGAGTTTTTTTTTTTTTTCTATTTTTTTAGGAGAATGTGTTTTTTGTTTTTGGAACTTGGCTAAAGTGGGCAATGCTTAGTCCAGCATAACATGTTGTGCGTACTAATCCGTGCACACAACCAAAAAAAAAAAAAAAAAAAAAAAAAAAAAAAAAAACAGAACTCTAAACTCTTATAAGATAATTATAAAACTCAAAAAGTATTGTCATTTCAAAAGTTTTATTGTCATTACTTATTGCATATTATATTGTCTGTATTATTTATATTATGTATTTTGTATCTGTCATTGGATATAATTTTATTGTCACTCACTAGTATCAAAATATTGTCATTTCGCGACAAGTAATTGTCAGAATATAAATGTAGAATTACATAAATAGTAAGACTTTTATATATTGTCATTAAGACGTTAAATGTTGTCTATTACTGTTTTTAAATGTCTAGGAACGTCGATTTGGTATCAGAGTCATATAGTTATAAGTAAGTCATTAATTAAGTAAAACAGGAGAATTTTAGACCATCTATTGAGTGTAAGAAACCAGAGTTCAAGCACTACTATCAAATTCTTGAAAATACTAGTAATTTTGGTTCAGTCCTTAATTATGTTGTAGATCAAATTGGTGAACTAAAAGTAGAAGTTGATAGCACACATTGTTGTTGCATGAATATTGAAAATAAGCTATTAGTAACAACATCTTATATTAATAAAAATTTAAGTGAGCTAAGAGAACAAGCTAAACAAGTACAACTTGCTTTAACAAACGAAGTTAGACATCAGTTTAACAAAGAAGTATCACCTAATATGGAAAATATTGTTCCTTATAAATATAAATATCCGTCTCAAAACTTAGATAAAAATAAGAAGTTTTCTGTATCACTCCCTAAAAGAATCTATAGTGAAAAGGAAAAGAATAAAGAGACTGAACATGAGCCATCATCTTCCGGAGAAAACGATTGAAGAATTACAAACCTTATTTGATAAAGAAAAAGACCTTGATAAACTAAATGAGATTATGAATATTATTTCTAAAAAAGGGATTGTTCTTGATAATGAATTAGAAGAAAATAATTATGTTACTTAAGAAGAAGAATCATATCAACAAATGGGACTAATTAATGAAACTAGAAGACTTAGACTTATTACCTATTAAAGTTATTCAACAAAAGATTGATAAATAACGTCGACAATGTTATCCCAAGACCTAGGTATCAAAGAGAAGGAAGTTGTACACGACCAAGATACATACCAGGGAAGACTACCCGATTTAGTTTCAAGGTTATGCCAATTTAAGTACCAAAGCAAGAAGAAGTAACTTTTGAACCTATTAGCCAAACTGGCTATAAACTCAAAATAGATGGAGTAAGAGATAGACAAGATGTTTTGTTATTACTTCTCCTTCCATCATATTTGTATTGGTGCAGTACAAAGTATACATAACTCCCTTACAAGATTTTGGTAAAAAAATGTTAAATGTTTAAGCTTTGTTTATGATGTTAGACATAAAGAGTTCTATGAACAAATAATTATTGGTATCGCATGTAGCTTAAGTCAGGGAATGGTAAGTTATATATATATATGTGAACCTAGATATTATGTGAGTTTAGAAGATTCACATGCTCCAAAGTTTCTAGCAATCAAGTTATTAATTGATGGAGTAAACATGCATAAAAGAACTCGACCTAAGCTATACAATTAAGATGGAAGGTAGTGTATAAGTTAGTCAACACTATAGATTCATCTTTCAAGAAACAAATAGTAGATGCTCAGAAATATGAGCAAGGAGGAGGTCTAAGAAGAAGATTATCCCTATAAAGGTAAATCTTAATGAAATAGAAATTGAAAAAACTTGGGAAGAATTCTTCATGAATCTTGTAGTAAAAATTGGGTCAAGTAAGATGTTAATTGATGAATCAGGATTGCTTCATATTGGGATAACTACAAAACCTAAAATACAGAGAAGTACGAGTCTTAGAACAGCAAGTCTAAGTAGACAAAATTCAACTACAATAAAGATGAAAAAATAAGCCGATGAAAAGCCAGAAGAGGATGAAGAAGAAATATTAGCTTTAATAAAGAAGCTAAATGAAAATTATGAAATTAAGAAAGCCTTAAAACAACCAGCAAGACATAGTATTGATATTGGTTCATGTTCTAATTTAGAGATAAATGAGGATCCAAATAATCTTATTTTTGAAAAAGAAAGGTAATTGGATATAAGACCAACACTGTGAGTGAACAAGTATATGAAGATGAAATTAATATGCAAATGGAAACCTATAATAAAATATCCATTACTAATCCTAATAGCATTTATATTCCAATTGATATATGCATTGAAGATTATAATAAATATAAATTATGTGCATATATTGATAGTGGTTGTTCTACATGTTTTGGAAAAAGGTCAATATTTCCATAATTCTTGTGGAAAAAAGCTAAAAATTCTATGCAAGTAAGAATTGCTAATAACAGCGTTATGATGCATACGGAAATAATTGAGGAATTGCCAATAGAAATTCGAGGTGTTCAATGTATTATTCCTATTTTATGGGCAACTGATCAACCTAGTCATGACATGATAGGAAATAACTTTCAAAGACTATACTCTCCATGCACTCAAACTATTAATCAAATAATCTTTACTATTAATGGTCATTCTGTTCCTATACAGAAAATAACAAAGGCTTATACTCATCAGATTATGGAACTTACTCGCAGCTAGCGTGGTGATTGGGTTACACTTACACAACGAGAGGTTGCACTTAGAATTTTTGAGTGCGAATAATCATTAATAGATTAGATAATTAAGCAGCAAGATAAAATTATGTGAAAAATTATATTCAACAAACCCATTAGAACATTGGGAAAAGGATACGACATTTGCTAAGATAACTCTAACAAATCCTAATAAGATTATCAAAGTAAGACAAATGGTTTACACCTATTTAGATATATTAGAATTTGATGAGCAAATAAAAGAATTGTTGAATAAAAAGTTAATTAGGAATAGCAAGAGTCCTCATAACATTCTAGCATTCATGGTAAAAAAATCATGCAGAAGAAAAAAGAGGTAAAGTTAGGATGGTCATTAATAATAAACAACTAAATGATAATACTGTGTTTGATGGCTATTACATTCCTAATAAAACAGTATTATTCAATAGAATACAAGGAGCCACATGGTTTTCTAAAATGGATTGTAAAAGTGGTTATTGGAAAATTAAAATGGAAGAAGAAAGCATTTCATTAACTACATTTAGTGCCCCTCAAGGACACTACGAGTGGCTAGTAATGCCTTTTGGATTAAAAAAAATGCTCCACAAATAATATTTCAGAGAGGAATGGATAATATTTTTAGAGAACTCAATCATTGTTGTTTGGTCTATATATAGAGATGATATTCTGATCTTCTCCAAAGATTTAGAGCAACATAAGAATGATCTTAAAACTATAACTCAAAAATGTGCTGAGCATGGTATAATCCATGGAAAAGATAAATGTGTCTATGCTAAACAAGAAATTGAGTTTCTAGGATTAGAAATTAAAGTAGGACAAATAATCTTACAAAAACATATCCTAGAAAAGATTGAAAAATTCCCAGATGAAATTGAAGATAAAAAACAATAGAAAGGTTTCTAAGATGTTTAACCTGTGCATCTGATTTCATGGAAAATCTTGCTCTTTTAAGAAAACCATTACAACAAAAACTCAAGAAAGAAATAACTTGGAACTGGAAGAAAAGTGATTCCAAACTTGTTTAGGATTTAAAAGCTAGGTGTAACAATCTTCTTGTACTAACATTTCCTACTAGTGAAGATGATCTAATCCTTGAAACATATGCTAGTAATGAGCACATGAGTGCTGTGTTAAAAATCAAAGGAGAAAGACTTTGCAGATACAGTAGTGGAAGTTTTAATAAAGCTGAGTAAATTATCCTACAATGCAAAAGGAAATCCTTGCAGTCATTAGAGGGATCGAGAAATTTTTAATCTTCTTAGCCCCAAAGCAGAATCTAATTAGAACTGATTGCGGCATACTTAGTTTTTGCGGCATACTTAGTTTTGTAAAAAAGAATTTGTCTAATATGCAAGTGCATGGGAGACTCCTACGTTGGAAATTATGGCTTAACCAATTTTCATTTACTGTTGAACATATTCAGGGATCAAAGAATTCTTTGGCAAACAGCTTGACCAGAGAATTAGATAATGTCAAAGAAGCTCAAGGCAACAAAAACCTTCTGCACACCAACTTCAAAAGATGGATGAAGAGAGAAAAACTCTCATTGATGAAACAAAAAGCAATGGAGCGGGTTTCACCCTCCAGTTGGGCCTTAATGCAAGGCTTGATATTTCAGAAAAACAACGATCACGAGATGGTTTAATCAAGGGTTTCCATCGAGCAGTCTAAAGGTTATTGATGTTTGAAGTAAAAATTATGTTATTTTCAACTCATTCCTGATTTACAAAATATGATGCTCCATAAAATAAGGGATAATGATTTATGAACATGGTACGAGCTGGTAGTAACAAGATCCAGTCGATTCTTTGATGTTCGAGACCTATGGGAAGAACGAGTAGAATTTCCTACAAACTCTAAAGTAGCGTCATTACTCATTTATCTTTATCCTCTTAATCGAGATGCTCCATTCATTAAGATACATTATAAAGCTTAGGATTATGGGATGGTACATGCCTTTTATGATTTCTCTACTCCTAATGACTCATTCTTTCCAAAGCTTACAAAGTTCCAACAATATGCATTTACTAAAGTCCGAAAGTTTTGTGATGACAAAAAGGAAATCTTCAAGCAAGGATGCAATGTGCGAATATTGAAGTTATAGAAGGAAAAGTCAGTCCGCCTCATTACTTGATAATGTTTGGGAAAATGGAATTTAGTAGTCGAGATCCCATACTAGTTTAAAAGACTGTTAAAAATCCTATTGAAGCTAGGGCATTGAGATTCTTCTACATCTCGCAATATCTCAATGATTTTATAAAAGAATCGACAATCCTCCTGTTATATTTCATGTGGGTAATACAACAATTGTAGCACCAAACGAAATGAGAGAATATTTAGTAGATGACATAA